AGGTTCTTTGAGAACCTGACGAACTCTTTTCGTTGAATACAATCACTTGCTTTTGGGGTATTTGTTTGTATCATCAATGGCTTGTTGTGTACGAATTTCAACTTTCTTACCTATTTCAGTACGTATACTATCTCAATATTGCCCAGTAGCATTTGGTGTAATAATACAGAAACGTGTGTAAGCGTAAGGAACTTAGGACCAGTGCTGCTACCTCTTATGTATTTTCCTGAGAGGGGGAAGTTATATTGAGCAGTGAGATACAGTACCGCCAAACTCTCTACGCTCAACTGAATATGAAGCCATAACCGGCGTAGCACGACAAAGTGCATTTCTGAACAAAATCTAAAACACGGTGTCCAAATCGTTGGGTTGATTCGTCAAAGACGTACTATGTTGGTTTGTTCAATCATTCACCCAATGTACTACAAAACCGGAAAGTTCGCAGTTTAAATTTTGACCTAGGTAAATTAGGTTATGGCAACCAATCAGTTGGTACTATGCTAGTACTATTGTCCAGCAATCCGTCTAGGAGTGGTGATCCCAGGGTGGAACGTTCAGAGAAATTCATCCAGGAGTGGATCGTGCGGACAAAGATCAAAACATTCGCGACACTTTCCAGCATTGTAGTAAAATAGGTAAATAATTGAACGAATGAACTCAGTACTATGTTCGACGGTTTAGTCATTCACCTAGTATAGTACAGTAATAGGTTGGTTAGTTCAGTCATTTACCTAATTTACTACAGTATTAGGTTGGCTGGTTCATTCATTCACCTTATATAAAACGAAACCGGAAAGATCGCGAGTTTGAATCTTGTCGTGGTTAGATTTTGAGTTAAGAGTCAATCAACTGGTACTATGTCAGCACTATTGCCCAACGCAGAATTTTCAGAAAAGATCCGCATAGAATTGGTGATCCCGCCATCACATATATAAACATATGAGTAAATATATGTAGTACCACGTACTTGTCGTAAATGCAGTAAATAGCATCGTAATTTCATTATCCATCGAAGTGCAGACTTCCTGTGACTGCTATCTCTTGCTATTGCAATATATAATATATTATACTGCTATTTATGATATTTATTTATTCTACGGAATCAGGTTCAGAAAAATATCGAAATACTTGCGACACTTACAGTTTTATGGGAAACTAAGTATATGTCTAAACAAACAAACTTATTACTAGGTTGGTTGGTTCAGTCATTCAAAAAGTATACCACAACCTACGTCTCGCCTGATCATGAACGCATACGCACCTATGCCTTTGCAGGTTATTTATCTTCCCTATCGCCGAGTGTACATATGCAGGCCTGGAACGCCTTTGCAAGTACGGGGGTTCAGTATTGTATCTGATGTGTGCTCGTTGATAGTCTTCTTGACCACTGAAATTCTCAAGGTGGGTGCTATAGTTTTATTGCACGCCAGCCGCCGCACGGCGCCAATACCTCTATTAATACGCGGCGACCCTTCGGGCGTGTGGGTGGCCATAGACAAAACTCCACTGATGCCGATGACTCAGTTGACGCTACTTGGCGTGCCAAAAGGCGTGGTAAGCCAATCATATTGGCAATATCTACGCCGAAACATTTTGTATTTTTTGTCGTCATATTTGTGTTGATTATCCTTGCCCTTTTTCTATCTATACTAAATATGACCTAAATTCCCGTGTGCACACAACCCCAAGTATACATATTAGTGTCTCCTCTGTTTTAGTAGCTATACATAGAATATGGGTGTTGGAGGTCTAATTCCGGTATAGATGTTTTATATTTACGTGTGGTGAGCTTGCGGACATAGAAGAATCTGTCAAACTGACAATGTCAATGTTGATTCACAAGTTCTGGAATGTTCATGAAACAGAAATTGTCTGTAATATAAAGTCAACCGAGATTGTTATGAAAGGTTTAAAATAGATATATGGCGGAAGATTAATGTAGTGAATAATTGGATAAAGAGGATAACAGTATTACCAGTATTCGATGGAAAGAGAGTGGTTGGTAAGTGAGCTAATGCATCGCGATCTAAGAAACGCATGCATGCAGTAGAAGGGGTCGACTGTGACGGTGAAAGTATATATAAGGCGTGTAAGTCGACAGTTGGTGCTTTGCGAGAATGATAATGAGTATGCTTGCGGAGAATGAAATAGACTTTATACTCGCTCCGCAGGAAGTGGAACAACTGATCACTTACCGGTAGCGCACAGAAATAGCTGACTATTGTATATGCTATGTTTTAGACCGTGAGAAAAATTTCATAGATATTTACCTTTATAGAAATAGAAGACTAGAGAGACTATTCAAATATGATGATGTTAGTGTAAGATTTGGTTCATTTTGAGAGAAACCTAGTGAATGTGAAGTGTGGCCATCGATATCGCAAGAGTTTTTATATTACGTAAGGATATATGGACTTGACGACATGCTATATCTGTGTGCCTGTCTGTTTAAAACAGACTATAGGCAGCGTACTGGTGTATGGCCTACGGGCCAATTGAAATACATAAGGGTGGGGCTTGTCACAGTTGATTCAATTTTACAATATCGGCATTCTTCTGATCTAAGCAAATTGGTTTAGACCGCATATGTTTTACTGTCAGCCAGTATATGATCCATTCGACAAAAGATTCTCAAAGGGAAGACATCAAGCAGAAAAGATATAAGACACATATGAATGCATACGGTCCAGGTGTGTATACTCCGTGGTTACATCTTATTACTACTACTATATTAAATATAGAGTACTGTATTATGTGGGCGGCTGGTGGGCATGAAGTGAATTCCCGAAGTGCGTTAAATGAACTACAAACTTGTTACTGACACAACTGTAGGATAGCCAACTTTACACGTAATATGCCTCTCGTAGACCTCACTTGTATGAATCGTGTGCACTTACGTGCGTATTCTACAAGTCATGGTCGGTCTATATCTCAGCGTGCAACTAATGTAAAGTGGATGCGCGAGTATATTACTGCTTGTATAAACTCTCGCATAACTACAACCACACGCAAAGTTATAAGCGAGAACCCAGACGCACTATTGTCTAAACATAAATAGATGCAAGAGGTTTAGGTTAAAGAGATGTCTAAACTAGAATTAGTCCCTTACACAAATACGAATCTAGTTAAGATCGATGTAAGCCAAGATATAGTGAGACTATTTCGACAGAGAAGATGGATACTCCTCCACGGGACAAAACGAACAGCAAAAACGGCCTACAGTGGAGCTGAAAATGGGACTATCAGAATCAGAAGGTAATGATCTGGTGATGTATGTCCAAGCCAAGGTAGGGCGATCGATGAATAACACGCCGCAAGAAATATTTTTACGTTTGATGTGTACACCTGTGCGTAAAGGTAATCAAATGCGATATAGAATAGATGTAATGAAGTGCATGCAGAGCTTTGTTTTTCGCAACTCGGATGCATTCATATTCGTACAGCATTAGAAATAATGATAGAACTTAGTAGCAGTGAACCACTGTTGGTGAGAATACTTGGAGCGACAGAGATGTTGTCGCGAGAATTGTGTCAAACATCCCTGCTGTTAATGTGATTGAGCCTCCTATAAGCAAATCATCTGATTTCACCACTATGTAAAATAGCGAATAATAGTAGAAGCACATGCTAACGCATATTTCCTGGAATGCGTTTGAACGTAAAGGCATGGACAGAATATTCTATTTCTGAAAATTGGAAATTACAAACGTACGCAGAGTATGGAGTTCTACTGTGGACAATTAAGTGGTTGTTTTATAAATTGTCTGTTTTCCACTAAAATTGGGATTTCTACAAAACAGGGTTTCAAGTGAATTTGATACTTGGCGATGGCACTTCATATATTCCTAAATCTTCTCAGCGCAAGGTATTCCATTGAGACATGGGATATGATTTTTGACTTCTCCTAGCTAGCCAACTAGATGTGCCCGTCTATTCCTTAAATGGGATGGAGAGTTAGATACCAATGGATGGGGTATAAGTACAAATGTGCCACTGCACCAGCTCGGTGTTTTGATTTACTTTATTTTTTCTCAAATTGGAGTTAGCGATATTTTATTAGTGATTGTGACTGAAGGATTGTTTTGAGACATGAAATTAGATTTTATGCATCCCATGGAATAGATTCTGATCTCAGATAAGAAAACTAAATAAACCTAGACCGACGTAGTGAAAGATTAAAGCGGAGCCATACAGGCAACAGTCTCAGTCTATCCACTAATCTTTTAGATCACTTACGAGGGCTGAAGTTGAACTTATTTTCACTTTTTGTAATTTGATTCTTTAACATAAGTTTATAAACGTAAACAATTTGATATATTATAGTCAGCCTGGATAGACCGATTTTACATAATGTTAAGTTTATAATACGCTATCGATATTATAACGATTTCCAAAGGAAAGAAAGCCATTAAGGCTACAACTACTAAAGGATTTACGATGAGAAGCACTGTGCCAGCTGACGCCCCGGCAGCAGCCGAAAGTTGTAGCGACGACGAAAGTCACACAGCAACAATCAGTCAGGGTCCCACCTAGAAGAAAGCACACTCGTGTACCAGATACAGGCGTAGGTGCGTCTGAATCTACCAGGACTTCGAAAACGAGAAAGGTTAAGAACGTAAAAAGGAAGCAATTTGATACATAATAGTCAGCCTGGATAGACCGACTTTACATAGTGTTAAGATTTATAATACGTTATCGATATTATGACGATTTCCAAAGGAAAGAAAGCCGTTAAGGCTAAAACTACTAAACGATTTACGGTGAGAAGCACTGCGCCAGCTGACGCCCCGGCAGCAGCCAAAAGTGTAGCGACGACGAAAGTTACACCGCAACAATCTGTCAGGGTCCCACCTAGAAGAAAGCACACTCGTGTACCAGATTCAGGCGTAGGTGCGTCTGAATCTACAAGGACTTCGAAAAAGAGAAAGGTTAAGAACGTAAAAGAGAAGCATGACTATTTATCTGCTGAAAGCTCTGAAAGTTATGGCACTAGGGCTAACAGAAAATATGCACTGGAAGATTCAGTGGAATCAGAGTGATGACAAAACAGTTGACACTAACTATGGAATCGTACGCAATGAAATGACAGTCAAGAACGTTCCGTTATCACACGCTCTACGAAGTGTTTAAGGATTTAGCAGTGCATATTCGGGAGTCAGAGGAGTATGATACAGATGGCGAAACAAGCCAGTGGAGGAGGAGAGATATAAGGATCCGAGACGGTCAAGGGAGGAGCTCGAATGGGCATTCACGGTGGAACAGGCCGAGTTGAATGAAGAGAGAGCAGCTGATGGTAAACAACCTGCAGAGAAGAATGACCATTTTGATGATGGATCAGGATTGGATGAGTGGGGAGGACTAGATCAATAATTTCATTCGTCGTTTGTAGCACAGCCAAAGGCATCGGCGAGGCCAGCTTAGAGATTAGACTTTGAAATGAGACATTCTTACCAATAACGGATTCGTGCCGAAGAAGAACCCCAACGTGAATGGATTAAACAGAAGGCAGCAATAGCTTGTACTTTTCGCTCGGGTGTACGGGAATTATATTTTCCGGATGTATATAGAACAATGCCGAAAAGATCAACATCGCCGCGATACATTATGAACGTAGCGGTATAGTATTTCGGATATGAACTGTTTAGAAGGCAGCAATAGCTTGTACTTTTCGCTCGGGTGTACGGGAATTATATTTTCCGGATGTATATAGAACAATGCCGAAAAGATCAACATCGCCGCGATACATTATGAACGTAGCGGTATAGTATTTCGGATATGAACTGTTTAAGAATAGTAAATAATATGAGACGTTGAAACAAGATGCCGAGCAAGATAAGCGAGACCTAACTGGAGAGTTTGGAACGAAGCGAGAAGGGAGTTTGCGCATCTGTCTTAATGTGCAATTAGGAACGCACTTACAGACTTCCCGACATTGATTTCGACGCCGTGGACACTACATGAATGACGTCAAGAATTATCGACTAATCTTCTTCAGACTGGCGATCTGGTTGGCTGAACGGAGGACAAACTAGGTAACGGTAATAATCCAAAGAAACCTATGTTCGGTTGAGCCATCTCTGTCGCTACCGAAGTATTCAGATATAAATAGATTTGGACAATTAAATAGTCCTATCAGTAGGTCTACTCCAAATGTTATCTTCGACATATTAAACGGGCTTTTTAATGGACCATATCCAAATATCTTGTTTGTAAAATGGAAAAGGTATCTCTTTATTAATAAAACCGATAAAAACCATTTAAGGAAAACTTAAATTAAGTACTTTTTAAAAGAGTACGTTTTTATACAAGATTCTAACGTAGAGGCCCGGCTATTATAGGGGATAATACATGAAGAAGTGTTAGCTTACGAAATGCTATATGAATGAGATAAATATTCGATGCTTAGGACATCATCATGCGAGCGTCGAGTTCACCGGATCAAGGGGATACCTTTGTAGGAACTTTGTCTGCTGACGTAGGCCCAGCAATTTATCTCAAAGTATAGGAAGCGACACTTCACTGTCCGGTAGTTTTGTCTCGTTAGCATCCAGATAATTTCGTAAACGTTGTCGAATGTAATCTGGCTCGGACAAGTCTTGGGCCATACGAAAATTGATCGGTTCCAGTAGTTCATTTTTAACGTTGCGATTAATCTCCAGGATTGGTGATACTAATCTGGATAAGTC